TTTTAATTTAGATTGAGTATATGCCTCTATCCATTAAGTTTTGAGTTTAGAAATGATTTATATGCAAATGTATCACAAGATTAAGATCTGGCAAGTGAGGTAAGGAGTACTTCTAGACTCACACCTATGCCAAAAATAAATAAATAAATAAATAAATATATATATATACACATACACACACACATACACACACACATACACACACACACACATATATATATATGGCATATATTCTATATATATAAATAAGGCATATATATTATATATAATGTATATTACATATATTTTTATTTTTATTTCAGCATTTCAAGTAGAACTGTGTTAGTAGGGTAAGTTTTCTTTATTATCTGGATAATTCAATTGTCTAGGGAATGAAAAGATACTATTTAACCATTATTGGAAACCAGGGTGGAGTTGAGCTTATTTTCCTGCAAGTTTAGAAGGCAGGAATGTGATCATTGAACATTAGCATCATGCTGAAATGGTTCCCTTAGGGTGTCTGGTGCTAGTTTGTTGAAAGATGCTCATTTGCTCTAAAAATATCCCCTTTTGACTGCATTCAAAACAGAAATGTGGATTTAAAAGAGCAGTCATGTTCTTTCTTTTCCAGTTGTCCCAATTACCTTTTTCATTTATATACAGCTACATTAGGACTTCAGCATTTCCATCCAAATTTTATGGAGATGATGTAGCAGATGCTGAATAAAAGACTTTACAGTGAAAACACAACTATATCCTGTGTAGGTTGTTGACAGTTTTATACAAGAAAGTCATTTCCTAGAAGTAAAATATTTCTCTAGCAATAGCTGCAGTAATTTCTGTAATTTGTATCATCTGTCTAATAATATGACACCTTGAATATATAGCCAGAATCAATTCTTGACTCCAATCTGAACACTATGAAAACACTATTCTTGAAAAATTACTAGAATAAGAATCACATCTTCCTGTGTCTTAGTGTCTCCATCTTTAAAGTTGAACTGTGATATATAACATGTTTGTGGATTAATTGATGACTAGTCTATGTGTTTTTCTAAAAAACAGAGAAATTATATTTTGCTAACTTAGATTTTCTTAATACATGTGCACACATACATCCATCCAAATGTACACCTTTGAAGACATAATTTTGATCATTCTTACAGTTCCTATTTTACCATTTCAATGGTTTCGGTTTTCCACTGAATGTATGATTGAGTCCCAAGCTGCTTTCTTCAGCAGTGAATACCTATAAGAAACAAGTATGCCCCAGAATGGCTTCCATTAACTGGGTCTCCAAATGAAGTGCTGTATATCAAAGCCTTCGGGCTGGAGACACACTGCAGGGTTCTTTCTCTTGGTAAATGAAGCATGCTTTTTGGAGCACTGTGAATATCCATGAATAGGAGTCTAGGGGAAAATAAAGTGTTGATTGTCTTAATATCTAGTCTAGAAAGAAGAAGTGAACCAGGATGTAAGCTTCAATAAACAGAAATATACTCAAGATATTTAAAAAGAGGGTGGGAGGATTTTATGAGTTAGAATGTCAAACAATATAATCAACTAAAATAGGGTCAGATGATCTCATTTCACTGAATAACTTGTTGGCCAAAGGATATTAACTTCCTTTACAAACTGTTTTCATAATGCAATTAACACACCTGCTTTTTGAAATCATTGGAGAGGTAACTGAAGAAGAGGATGATTAAATATTAGAATAGATATTGGTTTTTATTTTCCCTAAAACCTCTTCTGGTATTTAATGTATGCAAATGTACTTAAAAGTTTCATTTTGTCTCTAGAACTTGGGCTAGAAAAGTAAACAGCACTTTTTTTTACTTAAAATACTCCAGTGCTTCTGTGCTGAGTGTTACTAATAGCTTTGTTGTTCTAATATAATTCTCTAGGTGCTCTTCTTTCCCTTTGTAATCTGCCTTTCATTAATTGAAGCAGATAGTCTTATGATTTGAATTCAGAGGTATATGAGGTGTGAAAATATATTCATATCTATCTGCTAATGAGACTGATTCTGTAGCAAACACACAAGGTCTAGTGCATTAGGTATGTGTTTATATTTCAGAACAGTCCTGTTAGGTAAACTACACAATTTTTACCCGTTCTATTATTGTTATTTGAATTATCTAGTTGAAGTTTTTATTTAGAATTGACTTTGGAGGCATTTGACCATTTTAAAAAATATCTATATGTGATCTGTTTTCAAAATCTGAGGGTAGATTTTTTTTAGAAGTGGTTAGAGCTTTCAAAGTGGGACCTAATGTGTAGGTGGAAAGGGTATATGAATATGGAGTACTTTTACTCTGAACTCAGGAGCTCTGCACTTACTGCTTTCCTCTTTGTTGACACAGAGGTAAACAAAAGAGATAACTGAGATGGCAGTCCTCAACTCAAACAGACCCTAGGGATGCTATCAGTAAAATGAAGTCCACCACCTCTTGAAGCTGAGTTGTTCTGAATTATTCTAGCAGATATAAAGGTATGGATTAATACTGCTGTTCATCACTATGATAACAAGAAACAATTATGAATGTAGTTTGTAGAAATTCAAATATCATCTTCCCAGTGCTACTACATTTTGTTCTATTTTCTTCCACTGTCTTGTGTTTGTGGATGTCAAGAACTTCCTTTTCTCATGCCTGTTTCTATGTGTTTGCTTACTAAAATTTTATTCTTGCTCTCTGAATCATGTTCAATTAATTACAACAGTGTTATGGTCCTTTTACAAAAATTCCCAAACTTAAATAACCACCCAGTTATAAAATTCTCTTTACAAATGCATTTTAAATATTTATCAGTTAATTAAATATTCTGACTCTATTGCAATATATTCTCTTCTTGGAACAATGCATCCCATTGTCTTGCAGGCTATGAAATTAATTATAATAAAATAATTATAAGAATTGATTATCACAGATATAGGGCTTCTCTTCCCTCAGGAGTTAAAGCAAATGGCAATATGTAATTGGTTGCATACAGCTTGACAATTTAAAACATCTCCATGCCTTATTATAAAAGCTTAAATAAAAAAGGATATCCCTCAGATTTATGTTTTGTTTGCATTTTCACCTGGCTTAATTGAGGTTTGCAGTCATATCATCTATATGCAAGCAAGTTTCTCCAACATCATTTCATGGCAACACAATTTCCAATTTGAACTCTGTCCAAGAAAGCCTTGCAGAATATAGGCAGTCCTCCGATCTTGTCCTCTGTTCATTTATTAATACTGCAATATTTCAAATTCAAAGTTCTGTTGTGTTTGTAACTCCTTTTCCAAACTTATTTTAATGTTTTTTTAAAATCAGTATCAGTGATTTAATTTTGCTTATACTTACATAATATATGGCATTGATATGGAAATTTTAGGGGGAAAAGATGCTTTTCTACAACAGGTAAGTGTGACAAATAGGACAGAATTATCTCTATTGCCACTTATTTTGACAATATCATTAAAATCTATTTAAGATCATATTTATTTCTGGTGAACCATTTTTATACTGTGGTTTTATAAAAATAACACACGTATCTCCATTCCTGCTTACAACCCCCTAGGTTTTCTTTTGACCATAATGCCAAAACCATTTATATAAATAAATGTATAGGAGGCATTCAAATCCTACTTATCAAAGATGATTAATCTAACTTAATGGTCTAGATTAGGAGTTCAAGAACATTGTCTATAATGGGAGAGATAATAAGTTTTAATTTATTTTTAAATTTATAGTCCATATAGTCTCTGTCTTAACTTTGTCTTAACTAGTCAACTCCTCCTTATAGCACAAAGGCAGCCTTACACAATATGTCAATGAAGGGACATGACTCTGCTTCAGTAGATTTTTACTTATAAAAAATAAATGGCAGTCTACATTTGGCCCATTGACTATAGTTTTCTCACTCTTTGTTTTTAGAGATAAAACTAAGTGTCAATATTTCCTCTAAAATTAAAATAATAGTTATATTTAATTTATTTTAGCTATGTTCATTGGCTCAATAATTAATATTCACTGGATCATAATAATGAGATTAATTGGAATGACTCTCAAAAAATTGTTTATTCTTATTTATTGGGTGACAGTATAGTTTTTGAACAAGACATACATGAAGAATATGTTATATAATCAAGAATTTATCACTTAGTGTTCAAGGCTTTTCTTTTGAATTTTTATTGAAACATCATTACTGTTTGATGCTTTAGAACTTTTAATTATTTTCAGTTAAAAGCTCTCTAATCATACCTCAAAGACAACATTTTTATAAAAGAACACAACTGAACAGAGATGTCGAACCACAGTGTTTTATTACAACAAAATTCCAATGCTTTACAAGTTGATAACTTGTAATGATTTTTAAAAGTAATTTTAGTTATAAATGGACACAATCTTTTATTTGTTTATTAATTTTTTTTATGTGGTGCTAAGGATCAAACCTAGTGTCTCACACGTGCTTCGCAAGTGCTCTACCACTTAGCCACAACGCCAGCCCTTATAACCATTTTTTTAAAAAGCAACGATATAAAACCAAAAATCCAGCAAACTTGTACTTTAATATTTTCAAACAATTACTTTATTTACATATTTACCCCATCATGTATTTATATATGCCCCTTTGTTGTCTACAGAAATGTGAAGAAATATAAATTCCATTTGTCTTAGTCTACTTTGTTTTCCTAAAACAAAACAACTGAGGTTGGGCAACTAATAATATGTTTCTTTGGCTCAAACTTCTGTGGCTGAAGGGTTCAAACACCCTGGCACTGGTGTCCTGGTAAAGGCTTCCTCGCTGCATCACAATATGGTGGGGAACCAGAAAGGCAACTGACCACATGCAGAAGGGGCCTCTGTGTGAGCAAGGAAGTAAGAGACTGGAGAGGAGCCAGGTTTGCTCTTTTTATAACAACTGTGTCTCAAAGAAAGTGCATTAATCCCTTCCAAGGGTGATGCTGTCAGTGACATCATAATCCTTTCCACACACACACACTAGGACCCACCAATTAATGCTTCGGACACCCTGGACATAACCAAACCGAGTATTAAACTTCTAGCATATGAAACTCTGGGAGACAGATTACATACAAATCCTATCACAATGTGACTTACTTCAGAAGGTAGGTTGAAGAAAGAGTTCTCAAAAAAGCTTTAAAAAAGAAAAAAGGAGGACATCTTCTTCTACTTTCTAGACCAAATGAAATGACATAATAAAAAAGCCCTGTGAGAAGGATTTAATTATATAATTTAATTTAAGTCATCCGTTTCTATTTTCTTCAGAAAAAGCCTCCCTGAGGATTGTTATAAAGTCCATTCCCACTGGGCGTGGCGGCACATGCCTGTAATTGCAGTAACTCAGGAAGCTGAGGAAGGAGGATCACTAGTTCAATGCCAGCATCCTCTGCAACTTGATGAGTCCTTGTCTCAAGCCAAAAAAATATAAAGAACTGGGGGATGTAGCTCAGTGGTAGAGTATCCCTAGGTTAAATCCCTGGTATGCCCCCCAAAATAAAGCCTATTTCCTTTCCTCCAGGTAAAAATCAGAAATAAAAATGAGCATGAAACAATAAATATATTTAAAATGTATTTCTTTGCCATATGCCTATAGGGAATGCAAAGTAAACTCACAAATGTATATAGATGTGTGCTTATGTATTAATCCTAAATATAATTAGTTTAGAAAGTAGAATTTTAATATCTAAACATTTCCAAGTATAGTAAAATGGAACCATTTTTTATACTATGAATAATAGAACTGTGTTGACATTCCCAGTAAAATGTTGATGACAGACACCACAAGGTTGGTATTAATGTTTATGAGAAAGCTTTGGCTTTTATTTTACTAGTGGTGTTAAGTAAAATGTCTTCTTGGATTGTATCTACTACACCTACTACACTTTAAACACAATTTTAAAAACATATATAATTTTCCCACCTCCTCCTGAAATAGAAACATACTGTAGAAAAGATAGAACAAAAAACAACCATTAAGTTTCTAAGAAACTATATATAATTTTCTGGATAACTAAAAGAAGGCATTTACCCTAGGGTCAATGACCTAAGAACAAAGGTAGGTAATATCTGCTCTTAATTCATTGGGAGAAAAAAAAAAGTCACATTTTATTTTAAATTCTGAATCCTATTTATAATTCTAACAATTTATTCCTCCCCTTCTTTCCATCTTTCCCTCTTCCTTCCTTCTCCCCTTGATCCTTCTCATCCTCCTTTCCTCTCTTATCTCTCTCTCCTTCCCTGTCTACCACTGTTTTCCTGCTATTTCAGCCACATTCTTTTTTGTTCTCCTTGTAGACAAGAGCAAAATTCCATAAGGTGCGGTAGCTCAAGCCTGTAATCAGAGCTGCTTAGGAGGCTGAGGCCGGAGGATGGCGAGTTCAAAGCCAGCTTCAGCCAAAGCAAGGCATTAAACAACTCAGTGAGACCCTGTCTCTAAATAAAGCACAAAATAGGGCCGAGGATGTGGCTCAATGGTTGAGTGCCTCTGAGTTCAATCTCCAGTACCCCTCTGCTCCAAAAAGTAGCAGAATTCCCAGCCTAGGGTTCCAGGGGTGACAAATACAAGACACCCTACATTGGATAGATGTGATCAAAGCTGCTTTTTACTCATATATTCTCAGTCAGGTGAAGCCGACCAGGTACCCCTACTGAAAAGATACTTGCCATAATAAAGACTCACCCTATAATTATGCTTTTGTCACAAAAATTTTTACAAAAAAATTCCAAAAAATGTCAACAGGAATTCCTGCAGTGATCTCTATGTGATTTGAAGCGTCTTCTTTGTTGTAAATGCCAGGTTTGCAGACAAAATATGTGAAACCTCTGTCTAGCCTAAAATCATGGGACAAAGAGTAACTGATGTGTTCCCATCTACTTCCACGGTCATGTAGTCATCCACCCCACTGAGTATAAACCTAAAAGAGTTTCCAGCCGGAGGGTCCAGATAGTTTTAGGCATTAGCTGCTTTGGACAGCTACAGCTTAAATAAACCTATTTCCTGAACATTCCTTGGGTGTTCAGCCTAACCTGTCCTATATCATGGGGAAGGAGGACACTGTGCCTTCAGGGCCATGTAATAATTGCATTCAGGAACATAGGTAGAAACTACAGGTTTGGGAGGCAGGTTTGTTGTATCAAGAGGAGGAAGTGGGGGCTGGGTTTGTGGCTCAGTGGTACAGTGCTTGCCTAGCACATGCAAGGCCCTGGGTTCAATCCTCAGCACCACATAAAAATAAAGAAAGAAAGATATTGTGTACAACTAAAAAATAAATTTAAAAAAGAAGAGGAAGTGTCCCTGGTTCCCAAAGAAAGATGTGATTGGCTTCTTTGAATTTTACTGTGGGCATGCACATATCTGAAATTCACTATTCTGGAATAATCAGGATTGTTGTTGAGTTATGGGATCTTATCTTCAGGAGCTGAGTGGGGGAAGGTGAAACAGTTCTTAGGTTTGAGTAGATAAAATACCTATAAGACAAGTCAGGTGAATATTTATTACTCGCCAGCAGTAACTATAAGCCAAAGCCTGAGGTTCATGATAAGGCTGATCTTATGGTTCTCGAAAACCATTCAAGGCGAATGGAATCTCATTTGCATGTGTTCCTTTTCATTGCAGCTGAGGGACTCTAAGAGTACTCCACCCTGGGTTTTACATCCTGGGCATGGCTTGGATCACTGAGCTCAAATACTGTAGAACATCCTAATTTGGGAGAAGCAAGAGCACATCCTGGGTTGTTCTGAATATTTTCTCTTTCTTTCAGAATGTTGCATTCTTGGTGGAGTCTGCCTGAAAATTACAAGCAAAATGAGGAAGATAATTGGGTTGGCCAAGGCCATCTGGGAATCTGTCTTATTGAAAGTGTAAAATAGATACACATTAAATGAGATCCTTCAATAACACCACACATCAAAACAGCACATACTATTGAGACTTAACTTTAAGGATTGTATCATACGGATACCTTTGATGCCTTGATATAGATTTAAAATTTTTTAATGATTGAATCTTTTATGGAGTTGGAAAAGTGCTGCTTTGGGAAAAGAAACTGGATTTAGACCAGAAACGAGAATGCCACATTGAAATTGTTATCAAAATAAATTTTAAAGGGACTTTATTACAAAAAATGCCACTCAGGAGACTTGTATGACATTGGCAACACATATCCCTGGGGGTCATGAATAGTATGCATTTAGATTTATTAATGCCTATGGCAACAGAGGCACCCACATGATGGTCCATTTGTCATGCTGTGACTTAAATAGCAGTTCTCTGAATAGCACATTGTGCCTCTCAATTATGCAGGCTTCCTGGAGCCCATAGGCAGAGTAGAAATTCCATCAATTGTGCACCTTTTTCAAGATATCATTATTGTGAAATCTGTGTACAGTGAGTGCCATGGTCAATGCCAGAAACATGTTAGGAACTATATTAGAGAATAAAGAATTTTGTCCTGGTGAGGCTTTATATTGTTGTGTCAATACAGGCAATGTCATCCCTGTGCTGCTAGAGAAAATTCAATGTTAAGGTCTTGTTTGGAAAGGCCATGTAACAATTTCTGTCACTCATGCAAGAAAGGATAGATACCATCTCCTGTGCTTCTGCTTCCCTTACTGCTGTCTTAAATGTTTGCTTGACTCCCATAGTTATGGTGTACAGATACATGGTGGCCTGAGGGTACAGAGGCACCCCATTGGTAAAGGCACCCAACGTTCCTTCAGAGGTGAAAAGACTGTTAAAATAAAGACTGAGTAAAACGTATTAGCCAAATCTTCAATCACAAAATTTTTTCTAATTGGAAGGATTCCACAAAGTTAATAACATTGGGTATTGTTTATGGGGCCTTTATTGGTGGGCTCACAATATTAAACTTGTGATAATTTACCATGAGATGCTAGTCTTTCCTATTTAAAAGAAGACAACAGATTGGGCTATTGAGCACAGAAGTGGAGGTAATCATCCCTTTACTCACCTGTTCTTAATAACAAGTTTCAATCCTTGAAGTCTCTGTTTTGATTCACTTTAAGAAGTATTAAGTATATTATGGGTGCCAATGAAAATAGTTTTGCCCACTATATGATATTTTAAGGCAATGTGTGTTACAACATGAGGAATTAGACAAAATAGTATTTCTGACAGTTAAGGTAAATTATATATGGTATGTCTACATCTATGAAATTCATTTTCCCTATGAGTGATATACAGCCAATAAGCCTGGTGATTAGAAGATAAACCCATAGGGGCTTGTAAATGTCAGCATTAAGCAAATCTCAGCCACATATTCTAGATTTTTTGCATTGGAAAAACAACTTTGGACATACCTTTGGACATTTGGCAGTCAAGGAAGCAGGCCTGATAGCAGCAAGGGAAGCAGCATAGGAGGTGGGCAAGTCCTACCCTTGAATGAACGATTGGTCCTGTTAGGTATCCAGGATGCCATGTTTAATTCAACCAGAGTGTTGGACTCCTTTCTTTAAATCACAGACTACACCATCTGCCCCATCACAGGTGACAACAATCATAAAAAATTGTGATTGGTCCAAGCAGCCATTAACTGTTGAGACCTCTAGCTTTATTATTGGTAAGAGGAATTCAAGCACTGTCAAGGTAGGGTGTTCTATTTTCACTACTCTTCTAACTGGAAACCTCAGAGACCACCTTCCAAACCCAAGCAGAATATAACAGTACATCATGCTAGAGTATGGTCACTTATCTGTCTTGGGACAAGAGCATTTTAGGATGGGAAGAAATTGGCAACAATTAGCAAAGACAATACCTCACAGGGCAAAGAGCAAGTCCTCCAGTGATTGGCAGTTCTTTCCCAGGCAACCTTCACCATATCCTGGAGCCAATTTAGTCACTGAGCAGTTAAAATTAGCTAAGAAGTAGCTCATTCAGCAGGGAGCCATTAGTTAACCAAGTGCCCTATTCATGATTGGGCCATCCTGTTTATAATGCCAGTTATTTCAATTGTCTTTAATTTACCTCAATGAATATGGAAGGATTCTTGCATTTGGATTAGGGGGAATAGGAAAACACTGGAAAGATGATATTGTGCGGGAAGTCATCTGTGAAATGTGTGAGGGCCTTTTCAGCATTGTAGCCAAGGACGGGGTAGATCTGGCATTAGAAACTTCCAGAGTCAGTCCCACTGGGATGGACGGCCCCATGGGAGTGAACTTCCCCTCTGCTCTGTTAGAGAGTCCGAAGTAGTACAAGAGATGGGCTGTGACCCACTAGGAACTGAACAACCTACCTAGGCCCACATTTTCCTGTTTTTTGAAGAACTTTTCATACAATTTCTTTGATTTCTTCCAATATAAATAAAGCAAACACAGGCTACTTTCTTTGTTAGAAGGTAGTCATCTTTGCCTGTCGCTGCCACTTTTTTAAAACTTTCTGTGTTCTGTGGTCATTTCACTGTTCTTAGCTTTTATTTCTCAAGCAGTCTATCCCACTGAAGGGAAACCCATTCCCTCACCTGTGCAGGATGTGAGTGATAATGTTGATAGCAATTTATTAATCCCATATGTTCACAGTCTGGAGGAGAAGGACCCTATGTCACACTGATGTCACATTGAGGTTACATACTGTTACAAGTGAAAATCCAAGGATGGGGTAGGCCGATTTGTTAGTATCAAGAAGGTGAGGTGTCCCTCTTATATCCACCTGAGGATTAACTAACAGGGAACTGAAACCCACTATTCAGGGATAAGCAGGTACTGAACCTAGTCCTCCTGGTAAGTGGGATTGTTTTGCTAGGGGATTTTATTCAGTGGAGCCAAGGCAAGAAGAGGATTTTCACTTAGACTTCTAAGACCCTGTCAATTTACTAGATGTCAAGGCAGCATATAATATTAATCTTTATGCTCTTTTTTTTCTTCCTCCTACCCTCCTTCCTCCCTCCCTTCCTCCTTCTTTCTTCCCTCCTCCCTTCCTTTTCCAGCATTTTCTTCTTTCATATATTTTCTTATATAAATTTATTCAACATACAACCAGAATTCTTATTCTGCAGATGTATAATACAACCATATAGAATATTTAAAACTATCATTCTTCCTAAACATTCTGCACACATCATATACCTGCTACAAAGCTTATTGTAGGTTGAATTTTGTCTCCTCAAAATTCATATGCTGAAGTCCCAAACCCTATATTTCAGAATTGACCTTGTTTGTAGATAAGATCCTTATAGAGGTAGTCAAGACAAAATGAGATGAATAGGATGGGCTGTATTGGATACAAATACACATTGAGGGAAGGCGATATGAAGATATGTGCAGAGTGCCATGTGAACATGAAGATGGCCAGCCACTTCAGGCCAAGGAGAGAGACCCGAACACATCCTTCTCTTGTAGTCCTTGAAGAAATTAATTCTGCCAAAATCTTGATCTTGAACTTCCAATCAGAATTGTGAGATAATAAGTCACTGTTATTCTAGCCATCCCATTTGTGATTCTTTGTTACAGCAGTCTGAGAAAATAAATACACAAGTCTAGGTATGAAAAACTGAATACAGTAAAAAACTGCTAAGCTTACATTAATAAGATACTATATATTCAGTAGTAATATATATTTGATATTATAAAATTCTCTTAAAATTATGAATAGTTATGGACAATTTTTAAATGTACTCATGGCTGGAATTATATGTTGTCAATGGATCATCTCAAATATATATTGCCCTCATTTGATTGGACTGAAAATATAAAGAAAACACTGGGTTTATATAGTTATGTAAAATGCTGAAATTTTTAAGCTTTTGTGAATTTTAAGAAAAATTCTGGACTTTGAATATTCTGTCATCAGCATGCTAATTTAAAAATTATCAAATCAAAATATGTCAAAGACTGTATGAAAGCACACCTCCTAAAATACAAATTTTCCACTAGGATATGGTTTTCCTTCCATGACAATCAAATCTGGTAAGTAGCTAGAATTTTCTACGAAGGTGACATTGTCCTTAAAGCATTTTACCTAAGAAATTTAAATTTTAATGTGGTACATTGGAGATACTGGTCTGTTGAAATTCCATATATTTTGGGGTTGAAAGGAACCTCAAAACTTTGTCAGGATGTCAGGGAACTGGTGCTTTGTTCTGAGATTACAAGTGGCATCAATGCAGGTTTTTCCAAATGAGGAGGGGCATGAGAAACATACACTTTAGAAAAATTACTCTGCGTTCAGAGAGATGAACAATTTGTGGAGTGAAGGGAAGGAACTTGCTGAAGAGACTTACTGGTTATTCTCTCCTCCACCCTTGCTTGAATTATTTCTGCATTTTAAATTCATCTTATAACGGGCACTATCAGAAATCTTCCTAAAAGAAAGTTTTACTACTCTATCATTATCCTTTAATATCTTTTTCAGTGGCATCTATTTTTACAAGTAAGGTCAAATGCTTTGAGCTTACCATGAAAGCTTTCTAGAAAAACAAAACAAAACAAAACCCGGATATCTGGTATAGATTCGCCAATATTTTCTATAAGAATATTAACTATATTATTACTGTTACTAGATTCTATTAATCCAAATGGAAGTACACAGTCCCAATCATTATTCTTTTGTAGTTAATCTATTTTTTTCTATTTATGTTAAAAAACTTTTCTTTCCCTTATTATACAATTTATGAATATAAATTCCAGGTTAAATTTATTTTATTTAGGAATCAATTGTCAAATCTCTGAAATTCTTTTTTTAAATTTTTTTTTTAGTTTTAGAGGACACACAATATCTTTATTTATTTTTATGTGATGCTGAGGATCGAACCCTGTGCCTCACGCATGCGAAGCAAACGCTTCACCACTGAGCTACAGCCCCAGTCCAGATCTTGGAAATTCTTACCCATTAGTTCTTCAACTATTTTCTTTCTGGCATTCTATTTGGTCATAATGGAAGACTTATAAA